ACACTGAATCTGTTTGGTGTACCCAGGAAAGAACACAGCCCTACAGACACACTGAATCTGTTTGGTGTACCCAGGAAAGAACACAGCCCTACAGACACACTGAATCTGTTTGGTGTACCCAGGAAAGAACACAGCCCTACAGACACACTGAATCTGTTTGGTGTACCCAGGAAAGAACACAGCCCTACAGACACACTGAATCTGTTTGGTGTACCCAGGAAAGAACACAGCCCTACAGACACACTGAATCTGTTTGGTGTACCCAGGAAAGAACACAGCCCTACAGACACACTGAATCTGTTTGGTGTACCCAGGAAAGAACACAGCCCTACAGACACACTGAATCTGTTTGGTGTACCCAGGAAAGAACACAGCCCTACAGACACACTGAATCTGTTTGGTGTACCCAGGAAAGAACACGGCCCTACAGACACTGAATCTGTTTGGTGTACTTAAGGCCACCATTTATTTTTTTAATTTTTAATTTTATGTGTGAGTGTTTTGCCTGCATATATGTAAGTGCACAATGCCCATGGAGGTCAGAAGAGGGCGTTGGATGCCTTGAAACTAGTTACAGATGGCTGTTAGCTGTCATGCGGGTGCGGGTGCTGAGAGTATAACCCCAGTCCTCTGGAAGAACAGCCAGTGCTCTTAACCACTGAGTCATCGCTCCATCCCCACAGGGCCACCATTTCTAAATTGTAACTCAAAACTGCATTTGTCTGAAATAATCTGGTCATAGTGCAGACAGATTGATGCAGAGCTTTATTGTTCGGTTTTATAACTAGGCCTTACAACAACTAAGACTAGATTTTCTCAAAGTAAAAGATAAACAAGATTGAGCATGCAAAGGACTGAGTAAGTACAGATTTCCTAAGATGATTTAATTACAAATAATATGGCTAGGGATGATGGATTTGTGAGCTTTAAAACACACATTGTCTTTGATAAAACGTCTCACCACTTTCCCACTCCATCTGCCAGTGTTAAGTAGCTTTTTTCTAGCAAAAAAATTCACCTTCTATTTTCCCCTTCTTGATACCATTTTCCAAGAAATTTAAACAAGTCAATACGATAAAATGCTTTTAATGCCAAGTTTGCTCAAGAATCCACCTTGATTATTTCTGAGCTTTGGGCAGAGCAACCAGTTACGCTTAAGACTAGATTAAAGACAGTTAAGTGTAGTTTAAAAAAATTAAATATTCCTGAGCCGGGAGTGGTGGTATACACTCCCAGTAATCAGGAGTCAAGAGGCAGCCAGAGTTCTGTGAGATCCAGGCCAGCTGGGGCTAACAAGGAGAACTTGTCTCAAAAAAAAATTTTTTTTCTTCATAATAACTAAGTTAAAGTTGTAAGAATTATAAAACTAAGTATTCCATTTTAAATGTAATCTACAAAATGCTCTATTGCTTTTTTTCTGGTCTCTGTGGTAAAACTATTTCTCCTATCTCTGCTATCTGGTTAAGCTAAAGTTAGTTCTAAGTGCCTGGTAAATTACAGTGTCAGGTACAGTTTATTTTTACTTTAGGAAACTATTTCATATCGATGGGGTGCAGAAGACAGCTCCTAAAGAGACTGACTGCCTTAAATGCTTAGTAGGGGACTGTTAAATAAGTACAAAGGAATGTCCTAAGCATTTTGCATCTGCTAGGAAATACAGTAAGTAGTTCTCTGTAGCCACAGCTGGCCTGGAACTTGATATGTAGACCAGGATGGCCTCAGACTCAGAGATCTGCCTGCCTCTGCCTCCCAAGTGCTGGGATTAAAGGTGTGTGCCACCATGCCTGGCAGTAACTAGTTCTTACATTTAGAGAAATGCATTCATTGAAATAAGCTCCACAGTTTTTAATGGACTATTCAGAGGACAATAATGAATAATGAAATGTGCAGGAAGCTAGCTGCTTCTGAAGCAAGAGTACATGACTTCATGTGCTACCAAAAGATCACTTAAGTATTAATCAGTACACACATTTCTGAGATAGCTACAACTGAAGGTCAACACAGTAGGAAAATTATCCTGTCTCTAAAGGTTAGTGACCCATGAAAAATGCTGACACGGTTTTACAGGTTTCAAATTAACTAGTGTATATTTGTCTGTCTGTGTGTGCATGCCGTGTGTGTGGGTGCCCACGGAGATCAGAAGAGGGTGTCAGATCCCCTGGAGCTCAGAAGAGGGTGTCGGATCCCCTGGAGCTGGAGTTAGAGGCTGTTGAGAGCTGCTCGACATGGTTGCTGGGAACCACACTTGAGTCTGCTGGAGGAAGAGTAGGAGTTCTTAACCATTGAGCTCCTGCTAGTTCTTACAAGTTCCTCTGGATCTGATTACAGGCTAGGCCTATAGAAGCCATTCCTACATGTCAATCAATTTTGGTTCATTGACATTAGTCAACACATATTTCCAAAAATATGGTTTTTAAGGCAACAAAGCAATCAACTATTAGATTAGTTTCTTGTGCTCTTTTAAGGAGCAGACCACAGAAGTGGAGCTTCGACTTTACTCCTTCAATCTTATATGCGCTAAGCTAATGAGAGTTCTTTTTGGGATACTGGGGCTTGGTACCATGAGTCTCTGGATGATGAATACCCAGAAGCGTTCTACACTCTCCCTTTGTTTTCGATAAAGCAACAATCAAAATGTTACAACCACAAAATGTGGATTTTTTTCCTTACCAGTATGCATGTTTTGTCAAAACCACTGTACTAAAATAAGTATAAACAAATATACATTTTTCTTTAACTTTAGATGTCAAGTATAGTCATAAAAAATTCTAAAACAAATACAATTACTTCAAATTTATTGAAATTATAAATGTAACATAAAGTTACATATTTTCTAAGTACTTAGTAATTTTGGCAGTTTTTTGTAATTTCTACAATTTTTTGAGTCTTGTTATATGTTAGTTCTTTTACACATTTGCCTATTGTGTGTCCATGTAGGGTTTAGTTGTTTTGTTTTCAGACAGGGTCTCATGTAGCCCAGGCTAGCTTCCAACTTGCTATGTGTCCAAGGTTTGCCTTCAACTCCTGATTGTCCCATCTCCACCTCCCAAGTTCTGGGATAAGAGGATGAGCCAGTAAGCCCAGCGAGCAGTTTTCGAGGATTTGTACCCTCCCCAGCCCCCAGGACACATTTACACATTAAAAGTATAATGGTGCCAGGAGGCAGAGGCAGGCGAATCTCTGTGAGTTCATGGCCAGCCTAGTCTACATAGCGAGTTCCAGGCTAGCTGGGGCTACAGGGAGACCCTGTCTCAAAAACGCCAAAAGAAAAACTAAGTATAATGGCAAGGTAAAGAAACTTGCATGAAGTTACACACCCAACATACGGAGGAACCCAGAATTCCAGAATGTTATATATTTCAAGGTCTTTGCACTGTCTTAGCCATTATATTGTATTGCCTCCTAACATATGTAACTGGATTTCTGGTCACATTTAAATATTCCCCTTTAATTCATAGTGCTTAGAAATACTTTTAAAAAAACTCTGTGCATGTGTGTTGTGTGTATAAATCAGAGACAACCTTGGGTGTTGGTCTTTACCAGCTACCTGATTCAAGACAAGGTCTCCTGTTTGCTCCTGCTTACACCAGGTTCTTCAGCTTCAGGATTCTCCATACTCATCTCACTATAGGAGTACTGGGATTACAAACACACACTGCTGGCATTATATGGGCTCTGAGTATCCAAACTCAGTTCTTCACACTTGCCTGGAACATGAAAGCCATCTTCCCAGCACAAAAATATTCTGTTGGGGATGGGGGTATAGATTATACAGGATACTGCAAGGGTGCAGTGGGCCGGGCAGTAACTAGAGGATTTTCTGCATCCTAAAGGATGCATTTTATTTGACTCTCATATGGTTTACTGTTTTTCCAAACCTTTCTGGGATGCTACAAAAGAACAGCTGTATTCTGTGACTGTAATTCAGAGACAGAAATCAAGTTTGACCAAATTTCATGTGGGGTAGTCTAACCTTAAAACCAAGCAAACAAAAACCAAGCAGACCTCTTTTCTCTATATTTCAAATAGTCATTCTATGTTATCCTTTTACGCACTCAAACTTGGTTGCATTATCTATGCAAATAATTACTGTATCCAAGGTATTTCTGAATAAAGGATCAAATATGTTCAAAGATTTGTCATCATCCTGAAGAGACAATGTTAATAGGCTTTCAGAATAGCAAATAATATACTAGACTTCAAATATACTTAAAAAGCATCTCTGTAAGTTGCAGAAACCTTCACTATTTTTTTTTAAATTACTTTTCCATCTCACTAGGAAATTAGGATGTACAAAACACTTAAATTTATATACATTCTAAAATTTGATCTGATTTAATATCTCCTTTCGATTCCTTGCATATAATGGAAGTTAAATTAAAAACCTCTTCAATCTGAGTTTATTATCGACACTATGACAATATTGGACGTGGTAAACTTTTACCCTCCCAGTGTAGCCTCAAGGCCTGAGGTGAGAGAGGGCTGTCTTTAAGTTCAAGGTTTTGGGCAAAGGAATAACTTTAGCCTTTTGGAAATGTATCCCTTTCATAATTATAAAGCAGTATAGCCTTCACAGATGCAACCCTTAAAATGTAATAACTTCTAAAAAAAATTTATCCATTCCAATCACTGGTTCTAAATTTATTGTAACTGACTCATAGGAGGTCAATGATAGGTATTTTGAGAGCAGAAATCCTATGAGAGTTGCCAAAATCATTTGTGCAAATTAAAGAATAACTTCTGTGAATGAGACAGAAGTCACAGCAGAGATCTGCAACTCTGAGAAAGTGTTAGTAAGTTTAAGTTTTTTAGGGTAATATACTATTAAGTAATTAAGTAATGTAATTGGTCCTATTTTCTTTCATTACCAGTAATTACATAAATTAGCAAAAATATATTCCATTTGTTATATTTATGAATATATAAGCCTAAATGCATACCTGTGTAAAATGAAATGAGTGATAGCAATGACACAAGGGTTCAGCAGCAGCAGTTAGTACTATTTGTGTAAGTGTACTACCTTTAAGGCAGTGTGGTATTATCTGAAATAGCCTTATTAGTTGTAAATATGTATAGTACATTTGGCGGGAGAGATGGCTCAGCAGTTAACAGTACTGGCTGCTCTTGTGCAGCACCTGGGTTCAATTCCCAGTACCAACATGGCAGCTAACAATTGTCTGTAGGCACTGCACTCATGGGTACACTTACTACATGCAGGGAACACCCTCCCACACACACACAGAGTACAAATTCTAGAGCAACCACTACAACGTTGTTTTAAAAAACAAAAAAGTAAAAGAAAAATAAAAAGTACCAGGAGTGGTGGTACACACCTTTTAATCCCAGCACGTTGGCAGATGGCTGTAAAATCAAGGCCCACCTGGGATGGTCTAGGTAGTAAGTTCCAGGCCAACTGGAACTACATAATGAGAGCCTGTCTCAACACCCCACCCCCTCCCCCGAATAAAAAAAATCTATATGCTAGAAAGAGAGGAAAACAGAATCACAAAATACTGAATTAAATATAAAAAAGTTTAAATTGGACTTCAGTTTTTATGTACTAAATTCAGGTGAATTAAAGAACCAAATATAAAATAAAAAATATAATGCTTTCAAAAGGAAATGCAAAATGATAGCTATATAGCCACTGGGTAGGAAAGGAATGCTTTAAAACAAGGAATAGACCTCCCTCTGCTTCCCTGGGCCTGCATGACTCAGGCCTCTCTCCAGGGTAAGTCAATCACGCCCTCCCTGCCTTGACTCCCCCAGCCTCATTCACCCACCCATCTCCATCGCCCATCTCTCCTCCTAGCCTAGGTCCTGTCCCATTCCTTCTCTTGGCACCCCAGACACCTGAGGAACCACCACTGATTCCTAATCCTTTGCATCCAGACCAATCCCAGTTCCTTCTCTGGTCCCCAGGAGCCCTCTGGGCCTGGCCCAGCCCTCACCTCCCTCTGCTTCCCTGGGCTACACAACCTGCCAGCCTCTTTCCTGGACAGGGCTTCCTGATGCTTTGCATCCAGACCAATAAGTTCCTCAGCGCAGGCTCCAGGAGCCCCTGGGGCCTCTTCCCACCCCCATCTCCCTTTGCATCTCTGGGGGCACACCCACCAGCTGCGCTGGAACAGCATCTTTCCTGGGCACTGCTCCTAGGCCAGTCCAACCCCCAAATTCCTGAGGCCAAAATCTTTCCTGGAGGGATCCAGACCTTAGGAGAAAGCCTGAGAGCATCTGATCCTCATCTGTGTTGGGCTTCTGTGGGAACTCCTGAAGACAAAAGCAATCTAGCAACTCCAATATAAAATCAAAAGAGAGAACCAGAAGCTTAGAGGAGCCAGCTTTTCATGCCAAAAAAGTAAACAACAAAGGCACATGAAGTATATTAAAAGAAGCAGACCTAAACTTGAAGGCTTGAATCTCACACAAGAATCAGAAACTACAAAAGAAATTCACATGCCAAATTCACAGAGGAAAAAATAACAACATGAAAAACCAAAATAACATAACCCACCAAATACCAACAGTCCTATAGAGGAGTACAGTGAGAACCCTTTAGAGATAATGCAGGACACGGAACTCAAAACAACAATTATGAACATGATAAAAAGAATTCAGATAATTTAAAGAACACACAATGAAATCAAAGAACTGAGGAAAGATAGGGATAAACTTCTGAATAAATTCAGAAAAGAGCTAGAAATATTGAAGAATACTCAGGCTGAAATAAAAAACGAAGTGAAACACTCCATAAGCCAATTAGAAACGACAGGAGAAAGCATCACCAATAGTATGAACGAAATGGAAAACAGAGCATCAAGACTGGAAGATTAAGTGGACAAACTGGACCACTCAAGAAAAGATTATGAAAAATTTAAGATATCACAAGAATGGAATATGCAGGAGTTGTGTGACTCCATAAAAAGACCAAACTTACGAATCATAGTCATACATGAAGGAGAAGAATCCCAAGACAATGGCATGGACCAGATCTTCAACAGAATCGTGGAAGAAATTTTCCCAAAATTAAAAAAAAGATATACCCATACAAATACAAGAAGCATATAGAACACCAAACAGACAGGACCAGAAAAGAAACTCTCCT